TTATGGCCATTAAAAACGAGTTTATCTTTTCATCCTGAAGCCATTTCATTGCGTCGCTGAGGTCTGTATAGGGTGGAGTAATTTTGCCTTTTAGCTTCTCGCTGTAGGTAGCTTGGCTGGGATTTTTCTGCACCAGGATTTCAGCAGTCTTGGGGCTAAGGAAGTTTTCTTCAGAAAATTCTGGAGCCTTAGTTTGGGGAAGGACTATTTTTCTTTTCGAGTCTTTTTTTATAATCGCTGCAGCCTCTATAGCTGCTGACATGGCAAAGTCCGCAGAAAATATATTTAGGTTTATCCTCAGGCTTCATGTTGCATTCGCTGCTTCTATGCTGTTTCCCACACTTCACGCATCTTACAGGGTTACTGCAGCAGTATTGAGAGTGTCCGAACTGCTGGCAACGGTAGCATTGGACTGGTCTTTTCTTCGGGTTGAACTTTTCTATCATGACGTTAAAGCTGAACATTCTATTTAGCTGATGTATCTTATTTCCTTCGGGGGTTCTTTTGAGTTCAAGGAGGTAGATGGGGAGCTTGATTTTCTTTCCTTCATGACTTTTAGAAAACTGCTAGCAAAGTTCTTGAACTTGAGGTCTTGGACTATGGCATCTTCTTGAATAGTGGCTGGGAGGTTCTTCATTATAATGCAGATCGGTTTTTCAAATTCGAATTTGTAGGAATAGAAGGGTATCTTCTTCTCTAAAAGGAGTTCGTTCATCAAACTGTAGTCAGTCAGGTTCTTGGTGTAAACAAAAATCGAGTTTCCCCTCATTTGGGAATATCATGGGCCTCTGCACAGTGTATCGTGAACACTTTATCAAATCCGTTACAATCGGTGAGGAAGGTTTCACATCATTGGCTCCTCCTACGAGGCTTTCTTCTGCTATTTTCCTAAGTAACTGGAATCGGTTCTCCTGTGGTATCTCCATAGGAACTGGCTTTTCTTGAATTTTTATGGTCTTGGGGGGAAATCCAATTACCTTCCTTTTCAGGGAGAATGGCGTTATGTTGCGTTCATTGTCTTTTGCTGTTAAGCTTGAAAGTTTTCCTTGCATATTCCATCGCTAGATTGCCCACTTCTTCAGGGGATTTAGCAGCCCTTAGTTGTTCTTCAAATTCCCTGTGACGCATCAGGTGTTCAGTTCCGAATTTCTGCAGAAGCAGCTGTATTTTTTCCTCTCTGTAGTCCTGCATTAATTTCTGAATTTTTTCCTCTTGGGTTCCTTCCTCCTTTGCAATTTCAATCTCCAAAACAGCGTTATCCTCTTTTGCTTTCACTTTTTTATTAAGTCTGGGGTCCTTCAAAAATTCTTCACGTTTCGATGTGGATGGTAGCGAGAAAGTCGAGTCCTGAGTCCATGCAATGGCTTCATCATCTGTATTAACTGCCCTAAAAAAGGACATGCCTACTGTGTAACCCAAAGGAACACTCTCAAAAGTCAAAGCAGTGCTCAGTCAAAAACTAGAAATACACTAACTGACCACCTACGGGACTGGGTCAGTTCGAAGTAAAAATCGTGGAGCTAACCAAAGTGTTTCCAACACACTCGGAGTCACAGCTTGGTCTAACACGTTGGGAGCAGAAATGCATTCTTATTATATAGTAGGCAGAATATCTTTGTAATTAAATAATTTTCCTTTTCAGTTTTCCAAATGGGAAGCATTTTATCTTTTATTTAACTTGTAATAGAAATCTATTATTGGTACTACATTGCTCAACAAAATCACAGAAGCAAGTAATTTAGTGAAAAAGTATATTGCTGGTAAATATGCAGAACAATAAAAAAAAATGTCTTTCTGGAAAAATAGATAAATAAAAAATTAAGAATTAATTTTTAATGTAAACAGAGATCATTTTACAAGAAATTCATCTGATGCCTTAGAAATCATTATTACCCATATCTTTTGGAGAAGGAAAAAAAAGCAATTGATAAACTTTGTCAGCTGTCTAATAAGTCATGGCCATCTCAAATATGCAAAATGACTTTAGACCAGTGAGGCATTGAATTAATGAGGTTTCCACAGCTCATTCTTCAAGAAGAGCATTTCGCAACTGAAGGAGTATAGGTCCATGGAGTTTGTGATCTAGTAACATCAAGTTTATCAAATGTATCTCAAGAATGTTGTATCAGATTTGAAATTTGCAAAGCATGCCGACCTCTCTGTATGTTTTATTGTTTCTCTGCCAAGAATTTAATTCACAAGGAATGCTGAATGAGATCAGAGAGTATCGTATAAAAATGGCTGAATCACTGATGGCAGCAATATGCAGTGCAATAATCAAGAATCGCAATTTTATCTCTGTACCCAATAAATCAGGTATCCATTCAGAATGACACACAGGTCACTACACCCAAATAAGATTATACCTACCCAAACATACTACATCCCCAAATCTGTGACCTTTGGCATGTGCTGAAAAATGTGTCAGGTACCATGTTCTCTGCAGATGAGAAATCATTGGGTATGTTTCTGGATTGAGTTTGGCTTCATCAAAGGAAAGAATTTGGCCCTATTTAGCAGGTCCTTATTTACAATATTCTTCAGGCCCTACAACACTGAAAGGCTAATAAATAACTGGTCTATGTGCATACAGTCCTTTTGCATGAGGATGTTTGAGAATTCTTACAGTTGATATTCTTCTCACTGCCATTAAAAACTATCTTTGCAGGTAAGTGGCATTTCGACATCTGCTCTAAAGGGCTTACAAATAAGAGTCTTCATATAAGGTGGTAGTTCGTAAATGACCGTGAACAGGATATCTTCAAACACTACTCAATACTTGATATCCTTATGCATACAATTACATTTTGGTATCACAGAAGTGATGATGCACTAATGTTGAAAGAAGATTGTTGATTGGCTTCCAAGCTTCCCCCCCCCAATTTGCCATGGGGTACTTTTTGGCAAGCTGTTTTGATTCTGCATGTTGAAACAAGACAGATGTGAAAAATTACTTCTTCTATGAAGCATTGTACAAGATTATAGTTCTGAAGAAACCATTTATTTAATACAGTCAAAAGTCTTTAATCCGGACGTCCATAATCCGGAATGATCTATAATCCGGACCTCAAAGCTACAAACTTTCTGTGCACATAATACCTTTACCTCGCAAATACCTTTACCTTTACCTAGCAAATTCCTCGTCATGCGCATTTAATGTATAATACCTTTACCTAACAAATTCCTCGTCATGCGCATTTAATGTATAACAGATGGTATAAGCTAAGCTAAAATTATCTAATTATCTATTTCAGTTAATGTTGCAGATTGCGTTGTTCCTTAATCTTCGAACTGAATCCGGCTTATTATTTTTTGCAGACTGCCAGAGAATTTTATAAAAGTAAGCTTGAACTTTCAATTATGTCAAAAAGAATTTGCGATTCTGGAGCTGCCAAAGGATCTACAAAGCGAAAGCATATTTCGATGTCCATCAAACAAAAAGTGGAATTGCTGCAGAAAATGGATAAAGCATATCCTTTGTTTCTCTAACCATTCCGAAATCTGTTTATCAATTTCACTCTGCTCTGCAGGGGGGGGGGGACGTCGCGGCACGCAATGAACTGGAAGTTGATCTGTCAGCACTATCCTCATCTTCAGGGCAGATGTTTTTATTTTATTCGGCTTATAATTCCTTACTAAATGTAGTATTTCATCTCAATGTACTCTGTCTTTGATATGATTTAAAGCAAATTCCTCGTCATTATAAAGATCAAGAATATACATCAAAATAGTTTTCTGGTTGCAATTTTCTAATTTCGACTATGCGTAATGTATGCTTTACGCATGCGCGCGTTGAAAGAAATATTTAATAAAGTAAACAAATAAATATTAAGCTTTTTTTTGTTAATTTTGATACCCTTTAGATCATAATTGCTCTTTATTTCATAAATTACGGTTTTCATATTTTTAATTTTATAATTTATGCATGTCATCTTACCAGATTTAAATTGATGATCTATAATCCGGAATCGCCGAAGTCCCGATGAGTCCGGATTAAAGACTTTTGATTGTAATTTGAATTTATTGTTGCTAATTTGCATGCTGTAGTAGTCTTTTCATTATTCAGAGATTTATGACAGCTAAACATTGAGTTACAATATTTAACAGTGTGATAACAATTTATTGTTGATCAGTATATATAGAAAAATCAAGACTTGATCATTTTTAATCATTAAAAAATTTGGAAATGAGGTGAACCAAACATTAAAAATGTTAAGTCAAAACAGACCAAGCATTAAGAATGTTAAAGAAGCTTGCTGAAATGGCTCCCTATTCACAGAGTCACAATCTGCCAGTATCTGCATTTCAGATAAAAGGTGATGAAATTGCCAAATAATTTAGACTGCCAGAGAATAGCAGATTAATAAGACTGGCTTGACAAATAAAAGCACTTCTTAAGGGAAAATTGACAATAAAAGAATATTTCAAAATCTGATACTGAGATATTAAAAAAAAAAAAAAAAAAAAAAAAAAAAGAGAGAGAGAGAGAGAGAGAGAGAAAAAGAATTTTTGTGATCATATCTTTTGTGGCAATGAAAATGATAATTCAGAATTTCATGTATTTTAGGAGGTGTATAGTTTGAAGCAAGAATCTGAAACACAAAGTTTATCATGAATGAAAAAACATTTAATAAATAAATATTAATTTATATTTTTATTTTTTTAATTAGAATTATTATTTAAATCTGCCAGTAGATAAAACAAATTTTTTTTTTTTACAATTTTTAAGGAGAACCATTTTTTTTATTGGATCATATATCCTGAAGTACAATTTCAGTTCCTTGAAGATTTAATTGTATATACCAATGGAAATAAGCAGAAAATCTTCACATCTTTTATTTTAAAATATGGCAAAAGCTGAATCTCCCTTCCCAATTTGTCTACATTTATATGTTCTTTAAATAACTGTGTTCCTGAAAAAATTAGATAATGTCCACCATTTTTCATTCTTTCTTTTGCTTCACAGTTTTAAATTTTAAAAAAGAAAGAAAATTTCTTGCCTTGAGGATGTTGAACAAATGGCGGTGTGGCAATTGTAGTCGGAGCAGATACCATGGCAGCACTTGTTGGGATGATCGTCATTTGTGGTAATATGTGAGTCGGAGTGCCTATGTGATTTCCAGGGTTCTGGCTATGTATTGAATGCATATGAAGCGGGTGGTGTGGAGCAGCTGTCTGATGCCCATGGTGGGAGACAGGCACAGGCTGTTGTTGTTGCATTAGCACCACTGGCTGAGGTCCACCAGGGAAACCAGTATGATGGGCCTGATGCATTGGATGGTTCAAAGGCTGATTGTGGTTGTGAGGCCCAGTTGCTTGGAGGGGATGTTGGCCGATTGGACCACCAGGATACATTACAGTAGTTGGAGTAGACGGCTGAGAGTGATTTCCATGAGGTGTTTGAACCTGATGGACTGGTGAAGGGGAAGGATGCACAACAGGAGTTTGTGACTGAGGTGGATAGTGGTTGGAATGCTGCCCCCCTTGTTGCAAAGAATGTGAAGCAGTAGCAGCAGATATAGATGCTCCTGGATGGGCTGACACTGCAATACAATATTTATCTTCATAGAGAAGATAAAAATTAGTCAAAAACAAAACATGTAAAAGTATTAATTATTTGAATACTTTATTTCTATACAATAAATAAAAAAGTTCAGAAACATCTAACCTACAGAATGCATGCTAAATGGATGAAATTTTAGTAATGAACTAATAGATAATGAAAAGTCAGTTTTTTAAAATAAAATTGCAAGAGTTTATCAAATCCCTTTCAAATAACACTATGAAAATATTTAGTTTAAATTCAGACAACAGAATTTAACAAATGAATGTTCAAAATGTGTTGCTATTTTGAATATTTAACTTATAAAATGAGAAACTTCTTTTATTTCTGTAATTTTTACCCTTTTTTTCCCCAAATTACAAAGAACACAAATGCTGCTCTGTTTGTTATTCAAGTGTGCAAGCATTGGCCAGTCACATTTGTACTTCATAGCGCATTTCACATTCCTTGAGTAACTTATTAAACTTCTTACATCCTTTCCAAAGTTAAAATTAATAATAAAATATTAAAAAATTTAGAAAATACTTTTATTGTAAAATTCTGGCATATGATAATAAAAATATTCACTATTAATATTAAATGCAGGGTCAATAAATAGTCCCTAAAACTGATTTATTTTTCTGACAAACAAAGAAAAGTAAAATTTTAATTTTGGTATTAAAATAAAATTAAATATTAACATACGATACAAATTCAGATTACAGAAAAGTGCCTAATGGGTTTACACAAAATAGTTTAATCTAAATGAATTACACTAAATTTGGGTTTCTGAAAATTGAAAAATATTCCAGTTCTCTGAGAATACACCTATTTGAGTTGAGTTACACTTTAAGTTTTACAAGTTGAAATTAAAATAAGAAAAGATAAACACATTGATCAGAATTAAGACTGCAATACTATAAAAAAAGGACAATTCCTTCCTTCCTTATGGGTTATAATCATGAAATCCACGGAACTAAACAAACATTAGAATAAACCCCTAAGTGGAGTCATCCAAATACTCAAACCTCAATGTATTCAACTGACATCATATTAAAGGGATATCTTAGCGAAGGTTAGGATAGCAGTATCTCAATGACTCTTCAGAATCTGTTACCACAAAAAAAAAAAAAAAAAAAAAAAAAAAAAAAAAAAAAAGTCAACCCTAGTGAATTAATACGATTGCATTACATAAATCATGTTCTCAATGTTGTATCACTGTATTATCTGTACCAATGGGATGTAAATCAAAGGTATCTGTTCACCCAATTTTAAGTCATCTCTAATTATCACACCAACTTGACAACTTCCTGACAGCACTAAAGAAGGCACTAAAGTGCATGCCTAATAAATATTATGATTAATCTCTCCTGAGAAATGTATCTTATGCAGTTTCATCTTCTTTTGGCACCAATAGACCTGGCAAATAGTTCTATGTTTGTTATTTAAGCATGTAATAGGCCAATCAGATATGTACTCCATACTGCATTTCACATTTCTTGAGTAATTAGTGGTTTTAAACTTCTTACATCCCCCCTCCCAAAGTTATAATTAATAATAAAATATCAGAAAATACTTTTATTTGTAAAATTTTGGCACATAATAATAAAAATATTCCTTATTATTATTAGTCCCTAAAATGAAATAGTCTGCTATAATGGGAGGGAAAAAAAAAAAAAAAAAAAAAAACAACAACAGAGGAAGATAATACACTTCCAATGCCTGAACCAAGCAAATGGTTTTGAAGCATTTGGGTGAAGCCATATTATTGGTACTATAGCATAAATCTTATTTAATTGATAGTGGTGCATGGTAAACAAAGCATGCGCAGGCTTTGTCTTCTGTAGATAATCTCCCCCCCCATCATGAACCACTATACACTACTGAAAAGGCTCACAGCAAGTTAAGGCAGTCCAGCAATAATTTCAGGCTCAGTTTCATTCTCACTTATGTCTTCTGAAGACAATTTTTTTTTTTCATTCTCTATCATAAACCATTAATACACTATTGAAAAGGCTCATACCAAGATAAAGCAGTCCAGCAATAATTTCGGGCTCATTTCATTTTCATTTATATCTTTTGTAGATAATCCCCCCCCCCCCACTTTATCATAAATCATTATACGCTACTGAAAAGGCTGACACAAAGATAAGGTAGTCTAGCAATAATATGTAAGCCCGATTCAGTCTCATGCAGACCAGTGTTGCCAGATCGTGCAACTTTTTGCAAATTTGCGACTTTTTACAAACTTGTGCTATTAAAATTTTAGTATTTGCGATTTTGCGAAATTTATGCGACATCCATTATTTTCTTATGCTACTTTCTGTGACTTTAAAGATTTTTTTAATATATCATAAAATGCTTTTACGGTAAACTAATGTATCAATTACAAATAATTTATATTATTAAAAAAACAGTTTATTTAGGCTTAAATAGAAGTTGTCATCTGGCAATCTTGTTTACATGTGGGCTTTCCTTTCCAAGGCTGAACAGTCTGATGCCGGTATGACAAGGGGGTAGGGGAAGGGAAAAAGTGGGAAAGAAAGAAAAAGAATCTACTTCGGACCACTCCCTCCATGACACCGTGTACTTTGTTTTTAAGTCAGTCCCCCCCTATGCTGAACACCAGCATAACCCCAAAGTTCTATGATGATAACGAATTGAACAAAAGAACTTGGAGCTTGCACGCCATATAATGGGTACCCAAACAGAAAAAGAAATGAAGAAATTCATTCTCCCGATTATAAATATTGCGAAGAACTAAGTAATGGAAATGGCTTAAAAATCAAAGCAATGGCATTTTTTTAAAAATAACAACACAAATAAATTTGAACAAGACTTTCTTAACCAGAATTTGAAATGAATTCACCATGCAGAACGGAAATCTCACTGAAGCAAAAAACAACAATGAATTAAAAAAAATCTGATGTGTACACCACATGACTTCCTTGTACAGAATATTAAATTACATGCATTTTTTCTTGCATTTCATTTAAGCTTATTGGATTGAATTACATCTACTTCATCGATAGCTCATAAACCACAACAGAATAAATGAACTCTAAAATTCACTGTGTTTGTTTACCATAGCGACACTCTGGCACTATGGTAAACAAACACAGTTAGCCCAGCGACACTCTGCCACTAGGCTCACTTAACAGCCTTACATTTTATTCATTTTATAACTCAGAATGCACAAAATTTATATCATCTTAAGAATTATCTAATCGTTGCCACATGCTCTATTCAAACGCTATAATAAATCTAAAACAATGTATAAAAGAAATTAAATAATAAAAAAAAAGGAATAGTTTTTCATAGATGACTTAGTATTTCTCATTCAATTACTTCAGTTCTCACTTGGCGACAAGGCAAATATACATAGAAATTCAAAATATCTTATATTGAAAATGCCGGTATGACAAGGGGGTAGGGGAAGGGAAAAGTGGGAAAGAAAGAAAAAGAATCTACTTCGGACCTCTCACCTTTCCCTCCATGACACCGTGTACTTTGTTTTTAAGTCAGTGCCCCCCCCACATGCTGAACACCAGCATAACCCCAAAGTTCTGTGATGATAACGAATTGAACAAAAGAACTTGGAGCTTGCACGCCATACACTGGGTACCCAAACAGAGAAAGAAATGAAGATAAATTTTATATTTTAACTCTAAAATATATGTAGATTTGAAATATGTAATAAAAAAAATATGCAGTTTTTGAACCTGTTCTGATAACAAAATCTGATGTGTACACCACATGACTTCCTTGTACGGAATATTAAGTTATACGCCGGATCGGATCTTGCATTTCATTTAATTTTATTGGATTGAATTAAATCTACTTCGCTGACAGCGCATAAACCACAATAGAATAAATGCATTCTTTAAAATTCACTTTGTTTACCATAGTGACACTCTGGCGCTAGGTTCACTTAACAGTATTATATTTCATTCATATTATAACTCAGAATGCACAAAATTTATATTATTTAAAGAATAGAATTATCTAATTGTTGCCACATGTTCTATTCAAATACTATAATAAAGCTAGAATGATATATAAAAGAAATTAAGCAAACAAAACAAAAAAGAAACAGTTTTTCACAGAGGATTGAATATTTCTCATTCAATTAATTCAGTTCTCACTTCGCGAGAAGGCAAAAATACATAAAAACTCAAAATATATATATTAAAAATTACAAAGTAAATCTTAAACACTTATTTCCTTGAAAAAATTCCAGAAAGGATTAAGCATGATTAAATTGGCAATAATAAATGAAGGCGTTATCTTTGTTGCTGCGAAGATGTAAACAAACATGTCCTCAATTGTATTTAAAAATTAGGCTTAGCCGCACTTCAACAGCTTTTAAATTGTTGATAATTGTACAAATATTGTTTGAAGATTTCCTAAAGGCATAAAAACCTTAAGCAGAAGATAAGAACAACATAATTCAATCACTTTTAAAGCAAAAAAATCACAATTTACAAACATATAAGAATAAAAAAAACAGAGCTCACTGAGCTGAGTAACAGAGTTGGATATATACATACATATATTTATATGCTATTGGTGCAGCCAAATTTCAACCAAAATACGAGGTGCACATCTACATGTTATAGCAGTCTTACATACACAATGTCAACGTTCTGAGGCTACTCGTTTTTGAGTTATGCGAGATATGTATGTACGCACAGACGCCACAAAAAATTCTCTTTAGAATTCATTTTAAATCAATTTTATAATTTTTTTTTGGGGGGGGGAAGAAATGTCCTTTATTCTGCTCGTACTACTCTGCTACGTACAGGTGTCACACAAAAACATTGTTAAATTGCATTCGATAGCTTTCAAAATAAATATTTTAGTTTATATATGAGACCTGAAATTTTTCGCGATTACAATACTTCCTTTTTACTTTGTAAAAGGAAGTAAAAATTAACTGCCAACTCAAATAATTTAGTACAAAAATACTAACAGTCTAAACGTGAGGAATCTCTTAAGAATGGATATGCACAAATTAAT